ATATCCATGGAATGGAGGAGATATGGATCGTGCGTGGAAACCTTTCTTGGGGCTCTAAATATTACGCCACGTCGTCGATCTCAAGTTTTTCCTTTTCTGATGTATTTCATGTCGCAGGAATTAACACATAGTTTGCCCTTCTCCGGTATAATCCATTATGATATTGATTGGTCAAAGAATGCAGCTGTAGAGTGTAGTAGTACTGGGACTCTTCCTGCCACCACTCACCAATATTGGTTGTTGTGTCGTAAAGATTTAGGGTTCGTTTGGATAGAGTATTTGTATGAGTTATTTGAACACAGATAACTCGTTTAGCTACGTTTTATTGAAATGAGTTATTTAGACAGTGAGTTATTTATAAATAACACAAAATGAGTTATTTGAAATAACTCATACCCATGTGATATTTCGAAATAACTCGTTTTACCACTCTGCTTTTACCAAATATCACATGTCAAATACCACATTTGCATGGTTTAACCAAACGAGATATTTTATTTCAATTACCACTGAAATAACACTGAAATACCACATGAACAATAAATGAGTTACTTGACCCTACAAATACCACATTGACAATTAACCCATCCAAACGATTTAGTAACTTCGGTCCTCACAGTATGGTTAAAAAATTGCAAACCATGGTAGAGGACTTACTAGAAATGTAACAACTTTACTCTATTGCACCGTAAATTTGAAATATATCTATACATTAATCAGGATTTTCTTAATATGAAATAACATGTATGGTAATATGCATGAGAATGTAACATCCATTAACCTTAAACTTTAATTGTTCAGAAAAAAATAATAACCAACTTTAACCGTATTTATATATTCCAATTCCTTGGTTCAAAATATTTGTGAATTATTCGTTTAGGCCTTAGGCCAATATTGACCCCTACAAGGCGGGTGTGTACTGTACTATTATACCATAGAGGGGAAGGCATGCGATTTTAGACCAAGGGTCTATTTTTGAGGGAGGGTACGGATGGTACCTAAAAGTTAAAACTAAGTACAACCCACATCCTTTTCAATAATTATATACACTTGCCCCTTTGTTTTTGTTGGCATCCTATATTATTATATTTTGCCAAGTCTCGACTGTTTGCCACCTCCTAGTCTAACCCACCAAGATTCCATTTGCCTGCCCCCATAACCCCACATCCTCTTCTAAGTTCTAATCCATTCAATAGTGAATCTCGGAGTTAATGGCATGGTTGGTCACTAAAATTACAAAAAATGTTTAAGTTTGGTCACCCGAAATATTTAAATTCATTGGTGGTACTTCAGTTTACTAAAATCGTTCACGTTTGGTCACTCTCCGTCCAACTCCGTTAACTTTGGCTAATGTGGTAGTCAACTCTCAAACTTGACCATTAACTTAGTGATGTGACACTAAGATATAATAAATAAAATAAAATTTAATCTATTTTAATGTCCAACTCATTTTTACCATAAAATAAATAAATAAAATATAAAAATAGATTAAATTTTTTACAGTCTAGTTCTGGAGCCCAAAGATTTGGCCATGTATTTCACTAGGGCAAATCGTCGAACACCTTATCGGTACTTCACATTCACCGGAGCGGGCCGCCTCTTCCTCCCGGACAACACCGCCACACTAAACACCACTCTCAATGCGAACCTAGATCTCGAGAACAAAGTCACTGATTCCACTGCCGGCGGCGGTAGCACTTTCTTTAAAATCTCGCGTTTCAACACCACGCTGTCATACCTCCGCTTGGAAATCGACGACAATTTGAGGACCCACACCTTCATAAGCATCGATACCAACGAGTTCCAGACTTAGATGTGGTAAATCGCGGGGAGCCGGTGACCGTGTTCTCCGAAGACGATCCGTGGGCGCTGGGGAGTTTGGCGTCTGCGAGAACAGCCAGTGCGTCGGGTGCCCGACGCCGAACGGGCAGCTGGCGGGGTGGGGCAGCGGTTGCGAGGCGGCACAGCTGAGGTGGAATCGGTGGCCGAAATTGGAATTGGAATTGGGAAGTAATAATTCCAGCGGGATGGTACACGTCCTCGACCCATCAAAGCGCCGGCGAATCTCTTTGCCGATTTCTTCGTTGCGAACTGGGGGTCGTCGAATTCCAGGATCGGGTAAGATCGCCAGAGATTGGTCCATCTTTGGGACAGGACGCTGGTTTTCACAGCTTCTTTTGAGGGTTCTACGCAAATGAGGATCTTATGGATGACGTCTTCAGGTAAATCCGATATCCGGTCGACCTCGCCGGTCAGGATTTGGTTAGTTTCTCCATAGCCATTGGTCTCCAGGTGACTACGCTTCTCCATAGTTTAGGGACCGGTGGGTGAAAGAACAGAGACAAAGAAACAAAGGATGATTTCTTAATTCAACCCTATTAGGTTTTGGGTTCTTAATTCAACAACTTAGGTCGGCCAAATTGATCATCATTGATTTCAAATATTTTAAGCTAAAAGGGGTGGATCACTTTGTGGTGAATTAGTATACGAGAGGCAACGCGCCGGTGAAGCACCAGTCGTGCGCCAACAAGTGTAGCAAGGATTTTTTTTTATGGTAAAAATGAGTAGGACATTAAAATATATTAAATTTTATTTTATTTATTATTTCTTAATTGTCATGTCACTAAGTTAACGGTCAACTTTGAGAGTTGACTGCCACATCAGCCAAAGTTAACGGAGTTGGACGGAGAGTGACCAAACGTGAACGGTTTCAGTAAACTGAAGCACCACCAATGGATTTAAATATTTTGAGTGACCAAACATGAACGTTTTTTGTAATCTCAGTGACCAACCATGCAATTAACTCGTGAATCTCGTGAGTGAATTTCCTTGTCTAACTACCCAGGAGCCAGGATTACTAGACCGGGGGCCGAAAATAATTAAACAAAATATATGTAGCCAAGGTGGATCGAACCCATGTGCTTTAAAACATAAGTCAAGCTTCACTACCATTAGACCACATGACTATTACACAAAAGAATTTACGGAACAAGTTCTACGTATAAAATTTATACCAAATATCCTTGCAATCCTAGGGGCCGGGACCAATCCCGAGGGCCTAGCTTGAGTGTAGCTCCGCCCCTATAACTACCTCTATACAATGAGGCATATGATGCCTCGGGTTAGGGTGGTCACATAGATGGTTAATACGCAGTTTGACATTGATTTACCCGTAAATAATTTTTAGTTGTATTGAGTGAACGATTGATATGGGTGGATCGTGGATCGTGGATCGCTAATCCTCCTACCCATACTTATTTGGGTGGGTTGTAAGTCAACCATGATCAACCCATGGTTGAAGATGTTGGGGTGGATGTTTTAATAAAAATACTTGTTTGATTAATTTTCTACAGGAATATATTTGATATAAAAAAATAGTATATGAACATACTTGATAAAACTGCATAATAAAAGGATCATATTATCACTATGGAGTTAACGAAAAGAACATTTATTGCTTTGCAAGTTAAAATAGCTTTTACTTCCAAGCAAAGTGCATTTTTTTTCTTGTAGAACATGTTAATTACAGTACAAGATACCTAGAGTGACTAGTGACCTAAAATGAAGATTAAACGCCTAGATCGAAGTAATATTCATATCTTTTAAACCGGGTCTAGGCTCGTTATTTTACTAGACAATATTCTTTGTGGTGAATCACTATTTTATACCAACGCTTCCTAATTTGATGATATTATAATAGACAATTAGTGCTGTTAGTTGTTACTACAAAGTGTTTGTTTTGACATGTCAAATTTCAAATATTTATTTATTAAGATCTAATTATACGTCATTAAATGACAAAATGGATATTCTACCAAAAAAAAAAGACAAAATGGATAAAATATAACAATTCTAGGACTACTCCTAAAGGTCTCCAATGAAATTCACTTGTGCATGCCTATCAATTTCGTTGAGTTTCATTCTTGCGAACGTCCTTCTCCGACGAAATAATTAACGTGTTAGCTATAGCACTGCTTAAGTTATTACCTGCAATATCAAGCATCCATTGTTTACAACCAAAACTACTAGGTATCTAATTTTGTTTGCTCTCCTAGCTTTCGTCTCTCTCAGTCACATTATTTGGAGAGCTTAAGGTGGTGGGTCTGGTCACTAGTGACGGCATGGGCCAATTATTTGTGGCCCAGCTGGGGGAGAAGAAAAGACGAAAATAATAACAATAAAGCGAAATTTCTTTTTGACTTTTTAATAGTGTAATTTTTCATTCCAATATGGCAATATCCCTTTGTTCTATTTTCTTTTTTTTTGTTTTTTATTTCTATTTTCTTCCCTCCATGATTCTGGATATCCCACAAACAACCCAAGTCGGCCAAGGCTCTTATCTCCTTTCCCTCTTTTAGTTCACGCCACAAGCTCATCATCTCACAAATGCCACAATCTCCAAACCTGCTCACCTCATCATAGACCAACCTGTAAGGATCATGAGATTCGCCATCGAAAACAGTTACTAATCCTGTTATTACCGCTAATTCCATGAATAGATAAACGACTGCCAACAAAATCAAACTCTCAAGTAAGATAAGAGGAAGGAAGTCTGGTGCATTTCACTCCAGGAGAAGAATACTGTTCAAATCACTAAGTAGAACTACTAACGGTCCACTATTAACTAAATAAGTGTTGGTGGTGGTGCACCATATCACTCACTTGTAACATCCCGTGCAGGGGTGGCCTCAAAGCGAACAATATCATGGTCAGGAGAGGTCGGGATATTATATCACTAATCACTCCAACATGACAAGTCAAAGCCTCAACCACAATCACCACCAAGTAAACTGATACAAACCAAACCACCAAAGAGGGGAGGGAGGCCAAAGTTATATGAATGAATGTCAATTGCTATTGCTAAGGATGTCATGATCTCTCCCATTAAGGATTTGCTTCTTTCTTTCTAGGTTTGGATTTAGTGCACGTAGGAAGAAAGATGATGAGCAAAAGGGGGAAAGGAGAAAGGCTGATTCATCCAAAAAAATATTCAATTTCCATCCTTCTTTGTGTAATAAGAGATGTTGTGGGGAAAAAGGGAGAAGATAGATAGGGAGAGACATGTACAATGACAGAGATTTTGATTTCACATATCAATCTCTATTCCAAGATGGAAGAGCCATCCCAGCTGTAATTCATGGCTGCAATACAAGCTGAGCATACATAGATAAAATATCAGTATCAAATCATTCCCCCCTTTGCTCCTTCCTGAGGGTCGACTTATAGCTACAAGGACCCTACCACACATTTCAATATCACATTCAGACACCAATTGTCCTTCCAGCTGGGAGTATCCCTAAAAGTGAAATTCAATTATTTCCTTGGAATCTCAGAAGCAAAATGATCAATGATCAACATCATCAACAAACACCATAGCATCATCATTGTATCTATATGTCGAAAGATTACGACCCCCCCTTTTTCTGCTTCCACTAATTCAATATGTGAGAAGCTCACTGATTGTGTCTTATTATGTCTCACATTGTACTGCTACTACCATATCATAGGTCATTTCTTGCATGCAAATCTATAGCACAACTCTTATCTTTCAAAGGATTAGAATAAAAGTTGAAACTGTTCCTAACCATAATTCGACATCAGTCATCCCAGCAAGTCAACACTGTCCTTAAACTTGTTTCCTCCTTTTCTTCCTTTTATCCCCCTAAAAATCTTGTGTATGGTCTGTCATCCATTACCAAACTCTTATCTCAAGCATTCTTTTACTTTTCCTTTCCATGTCGTTTATCACAAAGCACAAAAACAAAAGAAAGGAGAGAAGTGAAGAGTATCCTTACCTAATAAGAAGAATTGACTGAAAGCAACCTTATCAGCTTGATGACATTTTCTCGTTTGCTTCCTCTGCAGAAGGGCTCCCTCTATACCTGCTTCTTCATTAAGGTCTGCTTAGCAGCCAGACAAAGGGCATGAATATAGCTTACTGGTAAATAGGTGCGTGAATCAAGAACAGTCAAGTGAAAGTCCGCTGACTTTTTCATTTCATTCCGCGATAAATCATACATCTGAATTGAGTAAAAATTTGCCTACTTATAGCCTTGGGATTACAATCAATGAGATGGAAAGAGAGGCTGCGAATACAAGAAAACAAGAGCAACCACTTCATGTGCTCAGAATGTTCATTTTTTATCTACCTAAGACTTGATGGACAAGGGGTTCTTTTCAGTATATATCGGGTTCTGGTTAAAAGAGAGAAGCTTTTTTCATGCCTTGTGCTCATAGGAATTCTCAAGGACTCGGACTCCCGGTCCATATATCAAACGGCAGCGGTCACTGAACGAACCAACTAAACGGGATACCACCTCCTTGAAAAACATGGATGCAACCTGTCCAAACAAAGGAATTAACAGAAATCAACTATGCGAATTTTAAAACTCCCAGCTCCTTCAGAGTAAATTGGTGCAAATTCATCAGCAAAAATATTTATTCATTAGAAGAGGCAATCCAAAAAACATCAATATGCAACATAACATTAAGAGAATGCTAGCCCCTGGCAGACAGTCACTAAATTTGTATATTTCTCTGGAAGCACATGCCTACTCAACGGATTATCAAGAAGCATCACATATCCATGTTATGACCATCTTCCTAAGGTGTCACCAAGGTATGGAGACACGAATCTGAGATGCTGTGGAGATCATGAATCAGAAGAAAAGTTAGATCATCTTCCACATCAGTATGAGTAGTGAGATTACCCGAATGCAATTTCCAATCTTCTCCTACTTACCATTCTAACAAATCACATTTTCAGAGAAACAGAGTGCTACAAGGTACAGACTGGTGCAGTGGCGGATACATGCATGTTTAGGGGTGTCCCGGGACACCCCTAAAATTTGGAAACACGATTATTCAACCTCCGATAGTAGTTTGCGTATAAGTAAAAAAATGTTTTAAGTGATAGTGGGACACCCTTACATTTTGAAAAAATGATTATCCAATCTCCCGTAGTAGTTTGCGTATTGATACAAATAATATTTAAGTAGTAGTCTATGTGATTTAAACTAGGGACACTGCCTTTATTAGTAAACCTATTTCAATTACACTACAACTCATTTGGTATTTTGTTTTAGATCCAAATATAATAGTAAAATGTTATTCTTATTTGTCAAAACTTAACTATTGAACCCAATTACCAGATACCCTTGTCTAATAAGATATGTATAGAGATATTTGTTGAGCAATATAGACACCGGATGTATTTTACCATTTTAAGAAACATGTATAAACTTTTAATGTAACTTTTATATTTAATAATTATTTAGTTTAATTTTAATAATTATTTAATTTAATTTTTAAGAGAGGACACCCCTATGTAGAATTCCTGGATCCGCCACTGGACTGGTGGAGCTTGCACAGAAGCATATACATAAGAGAGAGAGAGGACTACTAATAGCAAAAAGAAGAGCTACCTGTTCTCCCTCTTATAAAGAATCAGAGGTTCATATTCTATCAAATGTATTAGAAATGTTGATATACTACAAGGAGGCCAGTTGAGGGGCCAGGCAAACAAATTAAATAGAGAAAATATTTGAATTGGCTACTAAATAACTGTTCTCAACAAGGTAGATTGGGAAAATCTGCTGAATCTCAGATACTTCACACCAACTCCTTCATAATTAACATAGCAGGGTAATGAGTGCTGAAGGGGAATAAAAGCCACATATTGCTGGATCATAGCATGGGTACTCACTTTCATAAGAAAATCACTTATCTGCTAATTATCTAAGTATGTGGCATGCATCCCAAGTACATTTTAACGTGCCAAATTTGAAGTACAAACTCACAATGACATACCCATTCCCAGTGCACTATCGAAGATACAGACATTATAGCAAAGAATCAAACACCTCTATAGTATATCCAACTAGGTAAGCCTGGAAACTAAATGAACTTAGAGGAAGTCATGTCACAACAAAATGCTAAGGTACTATTCACACAACTGAGACATTTGAAATCATTGTATACAGATCTATCAGAATGACAGTGACATCTTTCACCTAAACCACTAACATGTTTAACATGGAGATAAGCTGACAAGCACTAGGGCAAAGAGTAGCACCAAATTATGCCATAGATAAATGCCCAAAGTTCCATAGTATATTGTGACTGTTACGCATTTGTCCCTAGTTCACAGCATCCCAGTACACCTTCATAAATTAGATCCACAGAAACAAGTAAACATTAAGCACGATCTACAGCAAATAGCTTTTAAGGGAGGAGGGCGGACCTATCAATCTCCTATGGATATCATCTGAGCATAATCCTCAATCATGTAAGCATCGCATTTCACTGTTCCTACATAAAACCACATTCTGCTGGTGTTCAAAGTTTCACCTAACTAGTTCATGCTAACAGTTGGTATCCTGCCTTCGGATAAACTAGTTCGTCGATTGCCCTATAATTACTTGCATATTTCTATGGAATGACAGTGATTGCATGGACATGTTGGAAGCGCTTTATGGATTGAGTGAATATGCACGATGAGATGTGCCAAAATTTAAAATAGAAAAAGTTTGAGACTTTGAAAGCAAATTGTGCTTACCTGTCTGTAGAGTGGTGACTGAAACTTAAAATCTACTAAAAAGTAAAGATCACAGCTGCCTGGAACAGGTCCTGGATTAAACTCCCATATGTTTATCAAGTGATCAAAAAGGCCGCTCTGGGATGCAGTAGTCTGCAAGTAAGAACCCAACGTGAACATAGTACAGTTGTACAAGCAGAATGAATTTGGAAACTAATAGTTAAGCTTAGCAACCAAATCCTAGCATTCGACATTATAAGCTGGAAACTACAAAATCAATAGGACTATCATAAATAACAAGTACCGTGTGCTAGAATCTGTCGGTAACTTAAAAAAGAAACTGCTAGGAACACACCAACTCAACTCATGCGAGAACCTGGACTTCGGAATTTCATTTAAGCTTCTCAAAGTTTTAATGTGCTTCTGAAAGATGAACTAAATTCAGAATATAACTTCCTTAAACAAATCCCTACGAATTCGGAGGGTCCTAATGAATATCTAGGATTCACGACATGTGGATCCAACCCAGATGATTGTCGATCAACCAAAGCACAAAAAGGCACTCATTTCGAAGTTCCTCTTATCCCATAGTGAAATTGAAGCCATCAAAACCTCGTAAGAAAAGCCATAAAATGCATACCTTGAGCATCTTTGGTCTCTTCAATTCAACGTGAGAAACGTAGCTCTCAACCAGAAATTTGAACCCAATCTCCAGCTCGGCATCAAATGATCCATCTGGGTATCGTTTGATAACATCAGACCGCTGGCACCAGGGCACGAACCCATGATACAAGTCCACCGCGGCCACCACGTCAAACAATTGCTCCGGAGAATACCTGCAACAGGCGAAAGAAAAGTTGCTATCAACACAAATGACAAGCTAAAAGAACAGAAAACAGGACTAGAAACTGGTCAGATAAAAAAAACATAAAGAAAGTTCACCCTAAGACGCGTCTCTCTTCGTAAACCTTGGACAAAACACCACCTTCTTCCCCGTCTCCGCATCCGAGGAATCGCCTCCGCTGCACCGCAGAGCTACCGCTATACGAACTCCCCAATAACGTCGAGCTGAAATCACCCCGGCAATCGATTACACTGGATGGAGCCGAGACTCCGGCAACGCTTCTGGAGCGCCGAATTTGATTGTGCTTGGGTGGGGCGACCGCGAAATGTCCTGAGCGACCAGAACGGGCTAATAGAGACCGGAGCGCCGTGGACGTGGAGCTGAACGGCGGCATTCTAGATGAAGCGGGCCGGAGGATCGATGAGGGATATGGAACGGGTTGAATTGGGAATTCAAAGAGAAAATAGGAGAAACAAATTCGAAGGATTGAAATGTGAGAATCTGGGCGCAAAGATATTGGAACCCTAGGCGGAGCGAATCGAGGGGAGGAGATTGAAAAGAAGAAGCGCCGTCATGATAATTTTGCACGCCAAGGCGCGAATTGAGGGGCGGGATCGATCGATCGAAGGGGTGGGGCTGGTTGGCCTGGGAGGCGGAGTTTTTTTCCCTTTCCCCCTTTCACCTGCCGATTTTGCAATTACAAAAATGATAATAGTACCTTTTGGTCATTTAACTTCTATTCATGTCATATTCAAGCTTCTCCAATCTCCATTTCATACTTTATTCTTGCATGTGTGGGCTTGCAAGTTTTTACGGCGTGAATCCTCCTAACATTACTATATGGAGGTTGTTGGCAGGAACCTCCTTAATACTCTTTTTCGTGCTTTATGCGCAACTCACGGAGGGAGGTTTTGGTCAATCTCGGTGTGCATTGATAGAAAAGCGGCCCTCTGTGCATTGATAGAAAATGGCCAGCCACTTTTATGGGCCTTCAATATAATATACATGTATGTTTATTACTACCAGTTCCATTGTTTGATACCTCTATATATATATATATATATTTGCTGCCTCTTGGCCCATCATCATTATTAGATATATATGTTTGGGGTAAAATAATTCGGCTACCACTTAAGTTTGAGGATTGGGTAGACATATCAGTTAAGTTTGAACAGGGTGTCGGGAACCACTAAAATCGACAAAATATGCATCCGTCTACTTTTTCATCCAACCCAAACTTTTAATTACTTTTTGGTACCCAAAAATTTTAAAAATATTCAAAACTATATTTCAACAAGTTTTATCTAATATAAAAAGTAGAAAACCTTCTAAACATATTATTACTAAAATGGCTAATCAAAATTTTTCGTAAAATAGATAAATTAGTAAAAATATTAAACTCATATTAAGAAAAGTAATAAGTACACTAGAATATAATAATAAATATTTAAAATTAATATTATAATATCTATTTAAACATTCTAATTCAATTAGAAGCACCATTAGAAATAGTTAAAATAGAACCTAATCGACCAACAATACATCAAAACCAAAGAAAGATAAATGGAACACAATCATAAGGAATAAAACATATTTCAGTAATAAAAAAAACATTTATAGCGAAAAGAGACGAAAAGTAACCAAGTAATAAATAAACTACAACATTCAGTAAAAATGTAGAAAATAAAATATGATTATAGAAAAAGAATTAAAATTACTAAATTTAACTAATATGAAACATATACAACATAATATTAGAAAATTAACAGGAGATTTAACATGGAAAATTAGACAACATCACCATGATATAAGATAACTAAATATAACATTCTCAGATTATTTATATTGAGATAGAATTAATAATATATATTTCCTTCAGAATATTATTCAATTATCAGAACGCATAATGATAATTGAAAATACTTATAATGATAATTGATTCTAAATTTTCTATTAAAAAATTAATTTGCTATCAAGTATTTAAAAGAGGATTCCAATTAAACAATTAAAAATTATGTTTTTCATAAGTCCATATGGTTTATTTTAAAATAAGAAAAGTAGAAAGACCAATTATGAAATTTAGAAAACGGAATATTCCAAAAATCTCCTGTCAACTTTAACGCAATGAAGCAGTTAACTTAAGTGGTACCGGATGCACATATAATAGAGTTCAGTGGTACCCGACGCCCTATTCAAATTTAAGTGGTATATCTACCCCAATTCTCAAGGTTAAGCGGTACCCAAGATATTTTACCCTATATGTTTGCATTGGTAGAAAAGAAAAGTGTCGGAGCAATGCAGGAGCAACAAGACGAAAGCAAACTGCTTAAGAGCGATGATAGCTTCAAATTCACTGACCTCAGAATCAGTAGTCTATTTGTTGGATACTTTCTCCACTGATAGTGCCATCTTCTTAGGGGGACAGCGGCGCCAACCGGTCGAACTCTTCTCCGCAAAATTCCCTTCCTTCCAGGTCTCATATTTATTTTTCCGTCATCATATTATAAGCCTTCCACCGTCAACTATTGGCCTATATCATTTAGACTAAAATAATTTGCGGCCTCTTTTTTAAAGTTCTATGCCTCGAAGAAGAAGCATTCCCCGCTGAGAGTCATCAAGAGATTCAAATAAAGATTCAATTCGATCATTAAAAATTGAATGTTAGTACAAATATTTTTATTAGCATAATTATATATATTTGCAATTTAATATGTATCCATTTCACGTGTTATTCAGGGAAAAAGAGAGCTATTTTCGTACCACCGGAAGGTGTAGTGGATCTAATCAGTCTCTATCTGAAGTGCAAAAAAAATTCTGATGGTATGAATATCATTGAAATATTTTTTCCCATAATAAAATATCGATTAATTATCCGTTGTTATAATCTATTTAGCTACTTCACACTGGTTGAACTTACAAAATCATTACTCTCCAACTTACATTTCAGATATTGATACACATAAGTCAGAGTTGAAGAGAATTAATCAACTGTTGACCAAATTAGCAAGAAGGAAACGTGTTATTTATATAAGACAGAGTATATATGGAAAAATTGTGAACATTCTACTGGTAATCTATTTGTTTCATGTTTGTTTTCGATTTATATGTTTTATGAAATTATGTGTTAGTTGCTAGGAATTCAGTGGATATGAAATGAAGATTTATGTGTCCAGCTTGAACTAAATCCCTTATGAAATGGTACTTTATTTCTATATGTTTAGTCCTAGAGTGCTGAACTGGGTTTTTTGTCATACAGATTGCACTGGTATTGTCACAACAAACAGGAATATTGCTCATTTTAAATCCATAGTCAGACAATTGAGCCTTCATCCACATTAACTGAGTACAACAGCTTCCAGCTGCCATGTACGCAGCTTCTGCAGTAGAAAGAGCAACTGCTCCTTGCTTCTTGCTAAACCAAGACACAAGAGCTGGTCATAAGAACTGAATACCTCCTGAAGTGCTTTTTCTATCTATGAGACTTCCTCCAAAATCTGAATCACTATATCCCACTAATTCAAATGAGTCAGTTATTGGATACCAAAGTCCTACCTGAGCAGTTCCTTTAAGATATCTAAATATCCTTTTAGCTTTAAAGTGACTTTCTTTGGGGTTTGCTTGGAATCTTGCACATAATCCAACACTATACTGGATATCAGGTCTACTGGCAGTTAAGTAGAGGAGTGATCCAATCATTCCTCTGTATTTCTTTTCACAGTAGGAAATACCAGACTCATCTTTGTCTAACTTAAGGTTGGTAGCCATAGGATTTGAGCATGCATTTACAGAGCACATATCAAATTTTTTAAGCATGGATTCAATGTAATCCGTTTGACTAATGAACATACCTGACTTGGTTTGTTTGACTTATAGACCAGAAAGTGGGAAAGCTCACTCATCATGCTCATTTCAAATTTTGACTTCATAGATTCACAAAACTTAGAGCACATGGTAGGATTAGTAGACCAAAATACAGTATCATCAACATATACCTGAACTACTAATGTGTCTGCATTGTCTTTCTTAATGAACAAGGTTTTATCAACATTTCCTTGTGACAACCCTTCATCTATTAAGAAGGCAGACATCTTTTCAAACCAAGCTCTGGAAGCTTGTTTTAAACCATATAGAGCTTTTGACAGTTTATAAACATGGTTAGGAAATTTACTATCAACAAAGCCTGGTGGTTGACTCACATAAACTTCTTCTTTAATTTCTCCATTTAGAAATGCACTTTTTATATCCATTTGGAACAGAGGTATTTTCATGTAACATGCATATGCACATAGAAGTCTAATAGATTCAATTCTAGCGACAGGTGCAAAAGTTTCATCAAAATATATCCCTTCTTCTTGTGAATAACATTGAGCAACAAGTCTTGCTTTATTTTTAGTTATAAGTCCATCCTCATCTGTTTTGTTTCTGAAAACCCATTTGGTTCCTATGATTAATCTATCTATTGGCCTAGGTACAAGTTCTCAGACATGTAATCGAGCAAATTGCACTAATTCTTCTTGCATAGCACACACCCATTCATCATCAGTCAAGGCTTCTTTATAGTTCTTGGGTTCAAGTAATGAAACAAATGCATACTGACCTGGTTGGTATTTACCTCGTGTGTGTAATCCATCACTTAGATTCCCAATGATATGTGAGGGAGGATGTCTCTTTAGTATGTGTGGAGGAGCATTCTTCTCTTCATGTGAGATATCACAGTCTTCCTTTGGTTCAGCTGGTATTCCACTTTCCTGTTCTTTGCTATGATCTTCAATAGGAAACAAAAACTCCAGACTTTCGGCACTAACTTTCTCATCACAAGCAATTTCATCAAATTTAACAAACACAGACTCCTCTACCTTTTTGTTTTTCAGATTGTATACCCTGTATGCTTGACCTTTTAATGAATATCCAAGAAAGATAGCCTGTTCAGCCTTAGCATCAAACTTGTATAGATGATCTTTGGTATTTAACACATAACATTTGCAGCCAAAAGGGTGAAAATATCCAAGATTAGGAGTTTTCTCCTTAAGGATTTTATATGGTGTTTTGTTCAGGTTTTTCCTGATTAGAACACGATTTATGGTGTAGACTGCTGTCATGACAGCTTCTCCCCATAAAAAATTTGGTGTGCCATATTCTAGAAGCATAGTTCTAGCAGTCTCAATTATGGTTCTATTTTTTCTTTCAACCACTCCATTTTGTTGTGGTGTTCTAGGAGCAGAAAAAGTGTGGTTTATCCCTTTGTCATTACATAAGACACTAAACTGATCATATATAAACTCTCCTTCATTATCACTTCATATTGACTTGATACCTGATTTAGATTCATTTAGTACTTTGGACACAAATATTTTAAAATTTTCAAATGCTTTATCTTTGTTAGCAAGAAGGTAAACCCATGTAAAGCGAGAGAAGTCATCAACTAGCACAAACACATAGGACTTCCCTCCAAGACTTGTAACATTTGTTGGCCCAAACAAATCCATGTGAATCAACTCATAAACCTGAGTGGTAGTAATATCTCTTTTTGACTTAAAACTTTTCTTAGCAAGTTTCCCACAGACACATGCATCACAAAAGAACTTAGAATTTTCTCTTAACAAGGGAATACCACGAGCAGATTTCATTTTAGATAATTTAGAGAGTTTAGATAAACACAGATGCCCTAGCTTTCTATGCCATGAGAATTCTAGGTCATAGGAAGAGG